AGTTTTACAAAATTTTTCTTCGTGTATATCAGATTTATTTCTATACGAAACAAATACTCTAGATATAAAATTAAACTATCTGTTGCAGTGTATTTAAATCAAATCGTCATTTACGTTTCAATAACATGGTATTAAAAAAGGATAATTGAGGATGACGGACGTTTTTCAATGATGAACCATTTTTTCAAGGACATTTTCAAATTAGGTTTTAGACTGTATTCTTCGAAACTATTCAATGTTTTCCAACTTCAGTACAATTCAGAATGCACAATTACAAATACTCCTCTAGTAGTGTTCTACAAAATCTTTGAAAGTCTCTCGAGATGTTGATGAAGTTTATTACTCTCAATAATAAAATGACGAAGATTTAGTTCAATAGATAAATAAAATAATGCTGCATCAAAGGTTTCATGCTTAAGAGAACAAAGCACATCGAAAGTTCATGCGTTGAAAGATACGCAGTATAACAAAAAACAAAATTATTATTACACATGAGATTACAGCATAAGTTCACAACACATAATACAGTACATGGTGACAATAGGTTGTCTTCTTTCTCCGATCATCAAACTGAACTTAGACTCTTGTTGAAAACATCCATGCAATGCCAACACAAGTCCAAATGGTCAAGAAGAAAACCACGGTTCCCAGACCACTCATAATCCAAAAGTATATTGAGCTTCTCCATTTGGTAGATTCGGAGTTCGAACCAACCGAATTTTTTGAATGCATCATTTTCCTATGCAATAAAAGAGCACGATCTAATAGCAAGGTATAAGGAAAAATGATACGTACAGAATCAAAATCAAGATTAGCACAGTTAGAACCAGACTACAAGAGCTTGAAACTATCATGAATCGAGGAATCATATCTCGATTGCAACATCGCCCCTGGAAGTAAAGAGCGATACCCAATATCAAGAAGGGTACAATTGAGCAGATTGATATCACACTAAATACACAAACAACTGAAGATACTGTTCCAAGCACTTGAAATCAGAGTAGGTACATGCAGAAAGGAGTTGAATGAACTTGTTTATTTTGAACTGATGGTTTCACTATTATCATGGAATCAATTTGCAGTGGCTGTGCTGATTCAAGTTTCTCAAATGTTGGATACATTGAGCCCAAGTTTCGAGAAAATTATTAATTGTTGTTTAATAGTATGTCGAAAATATCTTTGTTGGCTCGGTTCTGTGATTACTCTAATCGGAGGACCACGCTTCTGACTGTTTGTCTACAGAAATGAATAGAGAAGTCGTTGCATACGATTACTTCGAACAATCAGAATTTATTCTTACGTATCGAAAGCAACGTCTTCTTTATTCTCTCAGCCAACATAACATTATGCCTCTATCTTCAGGCTCTTATCCTTTTCTGCATAACAGATACAATACAGTTTTTGCTTCTTGCTGCTGATAAAACAAAATTTTCTACTGTCATCTGTATGAAAAAAACCAGAACGGTTACCACTCGGCGAGCAAAAGTATTTATCAGCGATGTTATTCTCTTTCTTCTGATTGCTGGTTATAGTTATAAAAGTACTCGTTTTTTGGTATGGAAAAAAATACAACCATTGGAAGACAAACATGAATCACACTAAGCAGATTAGTTTTTTTTTGTGGTGCGCACTAAACAGTACTATCATGTGATGTGATGTGTGCTTCAAAGTCGAACCTAGATCATATGTTACACATCATGACATAATGATGAATTGGCTAAATAAAAAATATTATTAAAAATAAAACTTAATTTAATCTCTTCTACAAGTCAATGAGAAGTTGAATATTTTCATGAATCGATAATCGCATTGTGTGTGATGTCATCGGGTATTAAAAGAAACGGTTAAACTTGTCGTAAATTCGCTTACAACCAAATGGAATAAGGTTAATTTGAGACTACGTTCTCTAAAATTATATCCACAGGAAAAATACCGGTATAAACAAAAAATAATCATGGTGACATTTCTGTTCCCAAAAGTACCATGGTCTCATAAGATTACAAAAGCAATGAGAAATAAGTGAGACTGGCAGTAAGTTTTTTTAATTTTAGGTCAACAAAGGTTGATGAATCGAGAAGTCGAATTGTTTGAAGTAATCAATGGAAAGTTTGTTAATGAAAAGAAAGTCTTTTCCATGAACTCATCAGATAAACGATCGAATACATTTAAAACGTGATTGATTATCTAAATGGACAAACAAAAAGAAAAGTATTTGATTATATCATTAGTATTCTTCACATGACAACTGTTCAAAAACAAATATGACAATACCAGAATGCAAAATCTATTAGCTTTTGGGAAAACTTTCGAAAATTATTTTCTTTATACAAAGGAAACTATTCAAGTTACTGAACGGCTTAACTTATATATTTGTTTTTCTTTTCTCTTCATTTAAAGTGAACCTCTTGTTTCTTTGCCGTCATCCTTTCTTCTTTGTGATTCTCTCTGGAATTTCAAACTATTCAATTGTTTCAGTTTTGAGCAATAGAAAATCTTTCATATGATATGTTTTCATTGTGATTGTAATAATCGTAACAATGAAGCAAAGGACTAGTATGCAAAACAACAACTTGATACAATGTTCCAACTAAAGTTCATGGAAAATTCCTTCAAGAAAAGCTCACTAAACAGCAACAGTTACAAACGATGTTAATTTATGATGAACAGAACCAAAGGCAGAAACCTTTCTATCATGATTTCACTTTACCATTTTGGTAAACAGTTATACGTGATAAACAAAAATAAAACACATTATTTCTTCTTTCCATAATGGGAGAAAAGCTTCTATTTTTACTGTATGTTCAAGATGCAACGAAACTAATGAAAACATAGCCAAATAACTATCGCTGTACGATTGTAAACTGAGTTAAGTCATAAAAGATTGAACTGAATTTTATTTGGTTGAAGTTTACAGAAGATGCGTGTGGGTGTGGGTGTGGGTGGGGTGTGGGTGTGGGTGTGACTATGGGTTTGGGTGGTGTAGGTGTGATTGGGTGCAGGTGTTTTGATCGGAGTGATGAAAAGATTCAAATCCACATCCACATCCTACTTACCAGTGGCAGTGAAACTTATAGAAACTTGGAATTTTGAAAAACTTGATAGAATCATTTCATCAATTTTGATTGAGACACAGAACCAAACCAGTCACACATCTTGAAAGGATCATCAAGGTCAAGCCTCGGACAGACTCTTAATGAAAACTTGTAAAAGCCTTAATTCAATCCTAGTATTATCTCATCAAGATTCTGAATGTGTTTGATGTTTTCTGGTTAGAATCCGAAACGCTTGTTTTTGAAAAAGTTTAGAAAAGGTTCTCATAACAATGACAGGTAGGAAACGCTACAAAATCCACTAATTTAAGATTCTCACAAGTCTTGATTTCTTTTGGTTGTAGAATTCTGTTCTGAGCTAGCTGTAACTTCTGAATAGGATTGAGATTGAGTTCTGATAGAATCGTTCATTCTTAATTGATAAAAAGATTTGAAATGATACTTGAAATAATTCTGAAAAGAATCCTATTTTATCATGAAATATTCTGCAAACAGTCATTACTAGGATTTGAAGAAGAATTCTTCAGATTTAGAATCCCGAAAGATATTTTCAGACTTTCTTAACAAAAGAACAAGATTGAGATTAGATTATGATAGCAGTTTCTGGACAACTCCAGACTCAAACTGTCAATTTTGAATGACTGTCATAGTTTTCTTGAATGGTATATCTGTTCGTGCAAAGCTTCGATGCAGGCCTTGAGTACGAGTAAATATGTACAGCTCACATTCAATGTTCGTTCATATGGCAATCATATAGATCCAAGATGCATAGAGATTTCGACGACCAATGTTAGAGAAAACAAAGTGCAATGTTAGCTTAGTTTAGTATTGTTGAATGAAAGAAAAACTCGAAAGTCCCAAAAAAGTTTTAAAAAATCACAAAAGTTCAAAAGAGTTCTTGATAGACTTGAAAAGATCGAGGTCTCTATCTTTGTCGTTTCTCATGTACTTGCCAAAAAATCAAGAGACGAAGTTTTGACGTAGAATTTCGGCCATAGATGAATCTCATACTCTTAGAAAAACTTCATTTTCTTTCTTAATTGTATAATTGATTGTTTAATATATTTTAATTTTTATCATTACATAATAATGTGATGTTTCGTTGTTGTAAGCTATTTCTTCGCACAAAAAGTACAAGCATATCAGTGTCAAAGATGTGAGTGTTGAACTTCTCTGCACTCACATCGTATCAATTTGAAAACAATGTCTATTTTAGAATAGATAAAATATGTAAAATCGAAATCTAAATGATTTTTCGTGCTTTCATGTAAGGATGTGACCTTTTATGTGATCAATGTGTTAAAGGAAAGTTAAATCTATTCATGTTGATGAAGAACAATTCAAGCAGAGCAATTTGTCGCAATCATAAATTACTATTTTTCGAACTAAAATATATAATTGTTGATTACGAAAATGCAAGTACACAACAAAGAGAATAATAAATTATTCTATTAAAGTATTAAGCAATTTGATAATTATTTCTAGAACTTTTTCATATTGATAATATCATTAACGAATCGAAAACAAAATGAAAAACTTGTTATTAATTTGATAATGTGTGTAAAAAAAAAGTTTTTTTGCACAATTCAAGTTTCCATTGTCAGAAAATATACAATCGGCTTGTGGCTACCATATGATTTTATTGTAAGAATAAATACAATTACATGTTTTCTATTGGTTTAATATTAAAAAAAAAGATTATTGGTCTTGATATTGTTTTTCTGAAATATGACGTACTTTTTATAATGTTATATTATTATTTTGATTTATCAGACAACAAAGCGATCATCTAGTAATATGGGGATTTTTCACGTGTATAAAGTTACATTCCACGTGCTGTAGTGAGTGTACTCTTATTTCGTCCGCATTGGCCTCAGTGACAATAACGAGTGAAAGGAAGAGAAAAAAGTATTTCAGCTGCTTTGTATTGTTATTATTAGTAAAGAAAAAATGCAGTCTGTCTTGCGCTCCACTCGTATTTTACCACAATTATCATATCGTATTCTTTGCAACTCTATTCGAATGGATTCAAGTTCATCGATTTTAGCTGCACTCAAAACTGATCATCAAGAAATAAATGCAGCTTATCAAGTTTGTTATGAATCGAATTGAATCATGATTGAAAAATATTTCTTAAATCTCAGAAATATATTTCAGCAGAAGGTAATATCGATCAACAGCAACGTTGGGCTAATGAATTTCGATGGGAATTGGCTCGACATAGTGTCGGTGAAGAACTTGTTGTTTATCCAGCTTTTGAGAAAAAGTTAGGTGCTGAAGGAAAACGAATGGCTGATCAAGATCGAGCTCAACATCAAGAAGTATCTCGATTTAAATTCTTTTTTTTTTATTATTTCTTTGTTTTTTCTTTATGTAAAACTAGGTTAAAAATCTTTTACATTTACTCGAAACATCATCCGTAACGGATTCACATTATCGTTCAACATTTGATAAACTGATGCAACATTTGACTGAACATATTAAAGGGTATGATTCTAAACATTGGTCTTTCTTTTTTCAGTTTTAATATTTTTATAAAAAAAAAATTAGTGAAGAAGAAGAAGATATTCCTAAGTTCGAAAAAGCTATATCACGTGAAGAAAGTGCTTCACTTGCTCGATCATTTCAACGAACCAAAATGTTTGCTCCAACTCGGTATTTTACTCTTTTTTTTTTGTCTGATTTTTTTTTATTATCTTCGATTTATTTATAGAGCACATCCAAATGCACCGAATAAACCACCTTTTGAAACTGTTGCTGGTCTTCTGGCTGCACCCTTAGACAAACTTCGAGATTTGTTCGAAAGATTTCCTGATACAAAATGAAAATTTTCGAACATTCACACCGTTATTGTATAAAATCAACCTGAACAAACTCATACCTTTCTTTTTTTGTTTTATTTGTTAATAATAAACAAGCGTGATTGTTTTTCATTGTTCGGATATAAAGAAGTTATTAACAAGTCTCTCCTATAAGATTAAATGATTGATGCTTGTGAGACACCATTCTTATTTCTAACTTTATCCTTGACTGAGTATCTGTATTTGATGTTATCGTAGTATATTTTGTTTTTTTACTAACAAAAATATCAACAGACGTCGTAAACTGTTGTATATATAGTACTAACCTGCTGATATGTGAATCTTCAATCATTCGTGACTACTGTGACAAAGTGATTGCATAGTTGTTATGAAAATCTGATTCAACTCATATTTTCAGTTTTCACCTTGGAAACTAACCTGTAAGATTTGATAAGAATTTTAGATATCGACAATTAACTAACGATTAGAAAAGAGAACGATTCAAAAAGTTTACGAGGGGCTTCTTGAGAAGCAAATAGATACAAGGTAGGTCAACATGGACATCCAATAGGTAAAATGGATAAATATAACTAATTCGAGAAGAGAACATATCAATTTTTACATGCGAGATTCGTTTCGAAGTTTTATTCTATATTCGAAAATAAAACAATTGAAGTAGGCAAGAAAGATGTCGATTAGGTTCATATTAGATAGTTTCTTTTGTCAATATCCTATAAACTATATTCTCTTTTGCATTCGATTAAGATTTTTTTGGAGATTCAAAATGAAATTTATCACAACTTCTATACAATATTTTAAGAGTTTGATATCATTTATTTTATATTAATGGTTGTTTTTATTTTGAAAACTTCAATTAAACAAATGTTATTTTAGGTTTGTATCTATCTCATCATCTGTATTGAAGTGTCATATGAGATGAAATTTTGGCTAAGAACTTCTGATTTTCTAATCAAACGACACAGCTTACAACACGTATATTTTTGCAAAATTCGAATTTACTTGCCAAATACTTTTGAAGTCTTTTTATATTATGCATAAACATGCAAGCTATCTTAAATAAATGTAATTTTGACAACTATATATCAGGCAATCGTGCGATCTAAGAGGTACAAGTCATAAATAGTTGCACGAAAAACATAAGTTTTAAAATTTTGAAGTAAAACATGTGAGCTTATGCTTGATTTTTATCCTTATGGATATTTACGTGCTATCCTTCTACATATTTGTCCACGACATATGACACTTATGTCAATAGACAAGTGTTTGTCCTGTCTGTACTCTTAAGATGACCAGCACTTCGCATAATTCTACGTGTCTGCCAATGTAAAGAGGCGACATTTAGGGATATTACTAGTAGAGCGACTTTACGTTCACATACAAGTTTTTCTCGATCTTGTACTATTAGCTACATAGTATAGGCTCAAGAAACTTGTTCTGTTTTTCAAAAATTTGTAAATAACTATTAACATTCATGTATACATCTGTCTTTTATATAATAATAATGAAAATTTACAAGTTTAGATTGAAAATAACAACAACTTCATACGATGTCATGTATCTTGAATGTTATTATTTTTTCTTTATCAAAACAAAAAAAGACAAAGATGAACACACATGCGAGATATTGTGTTAGAATAAAAAATATTTTCTGTTTCTTATCATACAATGTACAAGTAAATATTATCTAGAGATAAGGGAATTTCTATGTGAAAGTATCTAGATCGATGGTATGTTTTCGACTAAAGACATATGAAAAATGTCAGAAAATAACAGACACATAAAACCTAGTGCCTATTATTGTGGCAAGTCGTCCTGATATATGTACAGTTGCTATCTCGGTTATATCTTCAATATTTATGATAATTCTATGTCAGGAACCTTATATATATATCTTCTGGTATTTTAAGCACCTTATTACTAGATATATTTAAGAGACAAAAAAAACGAGTATTGGATGACTTCTTTCTAGTTACATGAAAAGAAAAAAAGATCTACAAATATCATATTTTTTCTCTTGTAAAGATTCAAAAATATGTTTGAAGTGTAATATATATATATATTGAGAATTGGAATAATAATTATATTAATTAATTAGAAAAACTTCATTTGTTATTTGTTATGGAAATACAAATTATTTTTACCATAAACATCATATTATTAATCGGTATTTGTATTGATATTCAAGGAACATCTGTTTTTAATAATCAAAATATCATTGTTGAATACGATAATACCACCAATAAATTTGGTTTGCAAATCGTTAAATTATTATGTACATCCGATAACGATTGCCAGATGAATAGTTCGTGTAATAACAACATATGCGAATGTAGAACAGGTTGGTTAACATAGTACAATAATCAACAATGTTCTTATAGACAACTAGCAAAATATTCTACTTTTATTATATTGTTCCTTGTCGGTGGTGCTGGTGTTGATTGGTTCTTTTTATCACGTAAAGATAGTTTATATATATATATATTAGTTGGTTCATTAAAGTTTCTCATATCAATTGCCAGTTGTATTTGAACTCAATTAGCTTTAATTATCAAGACTGATACATCAATAAGTATTTCTAGTTGTCTCGGTGCTTGTGTAAATCTAATATCAGTTATTTGATGGTTTATCGATTGAATTCGAATCTTATGTAATGATTTGTCGGATGATAATGGTGCTCTACTTGTTTAATTTTTATGTTTTATATGAAAATATCAAAAGTTTAAAATAAATGTATCTATGTATCTATTAATTTAATTGGTACATTGCTTAAAAAAGAAACGTATCAAAGAAGTCTACGGCCATTAGCCACAATGTAGAATTGATAGCAATGTTGAAAGATAAAATTAGCAACACGAAAATTCCTTAACACTATAGACAAATAACTCAGAGAAGTCCAAAAAATAAACTAACAACGTATTCAAGGACAACGAATATCACATATGAGTATAAATGACAATATTCAGCTAACTTTCCTAATTAAGCATGAAGTCTTACACAAAAACAAATAATAATTACTTTAAAAATCTCCCATTATCCATATAATTTTTTCTTCTTTTGAAGTTTCTATCGCTACGATTTTAGTTATCTGACAGTGAATATTCTTTTCATAATATTTTGACTTCGTCAAAATGTGAATGTTTTAAACAGAAAAGTTACCGTTTTCTAGAAAATTCGATAATCTCCATGATTCTGACAGATCAAACGAAAACCTTAGCAAATAGCGCAATCTCTACGCGATTAAAATGTGAAATACGATGTATTTTTTTTAATTTTGTCTATCTTGAGACACATTTATTCTTCCTCATTTTACTTCATTCTCCAGAAAGATAGTATATTATAATGAGCCGTTATTGAACTTAAAGAATTTCTTATGAGCATATTTGGAATCACCGTGACTGATAACCGATAATCCAATAGTTTTCATGAAAAAAAAACCAATGATCATTTGAAAATATTCTCTTGTAATAGAGATTAGAATAACAAAACATGATGACATCAAAATCAATTGATATCAACTGCCCTCTGTTGGTTTCTTTTTTTCTGAACTATGATGTTCTTCTAAATGAATATGAATCGTCACACGAAATGAACAAAGAAAGAATTGAATGTATATTAATATTAGCTTATTCTTTTGTTCATATATTTTTTCACAGATTAATATCTATAGATGGATACAATTGTCGAAGTACATTCTGTAACACGAACAACTCAAAAACAAACAAATAAAAAATCTCATGAAAAAATTGATATGAATCGTATAGATTATATAACAAATATATTTACTGAAGTTAAATCTCAATTACATGCTCGTCTTGTAACAAGTGTTTTTGAGATTGTAAAAAAGAATGAGAAATTTCGTCGTATAACAAATCGATGTTTTGAACATATTCCAATAATGGCTTTATGTATGGGTAAATATCAAATTCAATCTTTAGAAATCAATGAAAAGAAAAAAGAATATTATTATTTTTTTTTGTGTTGTAAAAATTTAGATTCAAATATATCTGAACATACACATTTATTTGAAGAACTTCATGAACAATTATCTTCAAAATTTAATTCAATTGTTGTTAAATTACAAAATATTGAACAATATTCATCAATTCATAATATGCTTAAAGTAACAAATATTGAATTAAATAAAGTAAAATTTATATTGATTTTTAAAAATAAAATAATAAAATAATTATTCTATTTAGTTTTATCCAGAAAAAGAGAATGAAAATAAAAATATTTATTTTCAATTAAGTAAATTTATTACAAATTATAATCAGGTTCAAATTTTTATTTTACATCGAAATCAAATTATATTTATTGATTTTAGTTAAAAGAAAATGAAAAACGTTCATTGATTTTTATTATACCAGAATTCGAATCAATTAATATATCAATATTTGAAAATTTTATTACTTTACTTAGGTATGATAAATAAAGTTAAAAAAAAACAAAAACTAAACATTTCTATTCAATTTAGTTTACAAATAAAATCAATTTCAATATCATTTGTACTTGGTTTATCAGGTGGTGATCATTCATTACAACGACTTGCATCAAGTCGTATTGCATCGAAATTATCTATTGATACAATATATGATTCTAGTGCAAGAAAATATTATGAATATATTATTAAATCAGTATGCTTAGTTATTTATTCTTGAAAACAATATTAAACAAAAAAAAAAAAATAACCTTTTTCGTTTTATCTTAGTTATTTCTTTCAGAAAATGATAATCGTAAACAATTTACAATAACAGCTGAACAACTTCATTTTATTGATAATAGTTATTTTGAAACATTTTCATTAGCATGGCTTGAACATGCTCTTAAAGTTAGTAGAATTTATTAAACTAACGGGAGTGTCAAATGTTCCTTTATTTTATGATTGATTAAAGTTACAAAGAATTTGGATAAAGTTCTTGCCATAAATAGAGCATCTGAAACATAAGAAACATACTCGACGGAAAAATTGTAAACAAGGTTTTTCGGAAGAGCAGTCATCCTAT